AACGTTCAGCAGTACCCGGATTGATGATGTCATTTGGGAATGTAAACTGGAATCCTATTACATCTATTAATAGCATCCACATTTTAGCAGGTTGAAAAATCCAACAGCAGCCATGCTCTCTAGTAAGGAAGAACATACAGTACTTCCGTCCATGTACTGTATGAACATAAAACTCAAGTACTTCATAGTTGTTATCTGTGTAATGTTTCATAATAGAGAATGATCTAAAAATATCCATTTATTTTTTACTAGATGGATAAGGATTGAGAAATGAAGATGGTGAGTGGGTGAAAATGGTTCTAGGAATGGCAGGAATTTGGAAGAAAAAGTGTGGCATATATATAGAGGAATGGTAGGAGACATACTGTGATTTGTTCAAATATAATTTATTTTGAAAGCATCTGTTGAAATTCTTCTAACTCATCCATAGAAGCAACAAGCCTCTGTACGACGCATGTTTGTTCTAAATTCTGAATTCCTTTTTCCTATGTATCATGATCAATTCCCCATGTCGTGAAAAATGTGTACTTTAAAATAAGATTTTGTGGACCCCTACATGGATTCAATGTATCATGATCAATTCCCCATGCATGTTCCTATGTATCATGATCAATTCCCCATGTCGTGAAAAATGTGTACTTTAAAATCAGATTACTTTTCACTGGGAACAAAGCTGGTTGTTGACTCATGATGAGGAGAATCGAACACGTGCCTACTTGCAATGCTGGATACTTAGATCAAGTAACAAACCATGCTACCTAGCTTACATATATGACCCTATGTTGTAGAAGATATATTTATTTAATCTCCCTTTAACACTATAAATACCACCCTCACTCTCCTTGTAATATAGACGAATGAATAATAAAAAAATCCATCTATTCCTCCTCCAGTTTCATTCTACTGTTCTTCTTATTTAATCATCATCATCATCGTCATCAGTAAATTCATAACAAACACATATTTTTTTTATTATTTCCTTTATTGTATAGTATGACCTAATCAAATCCTTTAATTTGTTAATATAATTTGTTTGACACAAGTCTAATATGAATTTAGGTTTCAAAAAAAGGAGTTTAATATCATTTTATATTACCAAAAGCAATTGAAACGCCCTTAACTGATAATGTGGTACTGAATTAAAATTTATTGAACATTTGAACGTGGACATTGTGCTGAAGAATGGGTCCGTGCCCTACATATATTACATCTTCTACTATTATTGCCATAGTCCATTTCATTGGGAAATCGACGTGTTTGTCGTTGACCTCGATGTTCTGGACGCTTAGCAGAAAGTGGTGGAAGGCATATGGTTGGATTAGTCCACTGATTATTTGTAGCCGGGGGATACAATTTACCTCCATAACTCATTCTGTAGTATTCAATTGTGAAGATTGCCGGGACCAATGAGCCATATCCAACCCTGCGAAAATTACAAGCTGCAATTGCATGTGCGCATGGTATGCCATCTATATTCCACTTTCCACATTTATAGGTACGGTTCGTCAAGTTCACTTGTAAATACACATCCGGGCCTTCATAACTATGCCCAGTATCAAGAGCAACGCCGTACAATCCAACCGCATCATTATACCTCTGAACGAGTGCATTGTTCGCCTATTGATCTCTTTGAGATAACTCGTCACAAATTTTTTCGAGCCAACGCATACCAGTTTCTTGCATCGTTTGGCCAGTTGTACGTCTGTTTGCAAACATTGTGGTTAACTTGTGAAAACTCAACCTTGCTATTGTCGTCACTGGTAACATCCGACATTCTTTAAGAGAATTATTAAAAGATTCAGATGAATTTGTTGTCATTTGGCCAAATCGGTGACCACCATCGTGAGACAATGTCCAGTATTCGGGCTCAATTTCTGCCAAATAATTGTATGCATTTGGACTCATTTGCTGTATGATTTGCATTGTTCTTCTGAACTCTGCCTTTTTTACAGCAGTACCTAGTCTCTAAAAGTAAACAATAATTTAAATTACATGTATTAAATAATAAATAACTTTGTCATCTAACCATTAATCAATTAATTCTTCATTAATTAACTATATACAATTATGTCATTAATTAATTCTTATTTTAAGAACTATATACAATTACATACTACAATTGAAGACTTGGACATCACATTGCTGCGAATGTGTCTCAAACAATAACGACGTTTAACTCGGGGTCCTTTTAATTCATTCAACTTATTAAACGCTACATCAATCCCACCATGCCTATCCGAAATGATACACACTGAATTCAAATCAGGAAACACATGTGTTGCTAGTCGTTTGAGAAACCAACTCCAGCTGGCGCCGTTTTCAGAATCAACAATTGAGTACGCCAATGGAAATATTTCCATGTTACCCGTCATTCCGACCGCTAGTAGGAGATGTCCCTTGTATTTTCCGTAAAGGTGTGTACCATCAATGCAAATAATAGGCATGCAAAATCAGAAACCATCGGTAGTGGGCTTAAAGGACCAAAATGCATACAAGAAGTGACCGTACTCAGTACCTCGTGCGGACTACGTTAATTCGATATCAACAATCATACCTGGGGGGAATCATAATTTAGTATGATAATGTTTTTTTTTCGTACGAGATACAAAAACAAATTTATTTTGTAAAAGTTATGCAACAAAGACCCCGTACCTGGTTAGACATCTGCAACGTATGCAAAAAATTTGGCAGCTCTTGGTAGGAATATTCAAATTTTTCGTACAACCTTTCAACGCATTTTTACGCCCGTACCATGCCTTTCTATATGTAACATCGATCCCGTACGCCTGTTGCACATCTACTTGAATGTGTTTTACTTTGTACTCAGGATCAGCGCTGATCATACGATAAACCAAATCGGCAATTAGTCCACTTGTTATTATTTTGTCCACCCCACCATCGTGGAAATCACGTTGGCAAATGTGACTTTCTCTGCATTTTGTGATCTTCCAGTAATCAAATGCTCCTTGCAATTTTCGTGCCGACAATGCCCATTTACATAGTTGTGCACCTGAATTGAAATTAGAACACACTGCTCGCCATGACCTGCTTTGCTAGAATTTTGTTTAAAGAATTAATTCATTAGACCTTCCTATCCAGGAGGAAGATGATGAAGAGTTTCATGACTACAAGAAGCCCAATTTTCCAAGTAACAATAGTTGAGTCTGATGTTGAATTGGATAGTGCTGATGTTGTGGAGCCTGACAATGATCCTCCACAAAAGGTGTGATATAGTGAATATGAAGACACAATTTAAGCACATGTTTTGATATTGAACATATTCTTCTGTTGTGGCATGGTAGATGGGTGACCCTTCAAGAGAAGTAACTGAGGAAAGCCAAGATGCTGCTTAAATGTCAAAGTCTAAAGCTGCGAATGCAATCTCTGAGGGTATTTTATGTCCTTAGCTTCCAGTGTGATCTAGATCCTCATGCTTACTTTTCTGTTATTGTTACTTTTTGGAAGTTTATGCTCTAATGGAACTATTTTCTTATCATGTTAAATCCAATTTCAACAATACTATATGCAACCAGAGGTAATTCTATAACATAAGATCTATCTGAACTAAGTGTCTATATGTTTTTGTTCTGTTTATTTATTATTTAAATATTATACTTACACAGGTAGTGTGTTTATTAAACTTAAAAAGCCAAATGTTGCAATCCGTGATGCTAATGCAACTTTACAGGTGTGCATGCAGCTATATTTTAAGATTAAAACTATATTAAACTACTAGAGTATATCTGATTAAGATGCAAATGACTATATCTCAACTCTTTGGGGTGTATACTTAATCTTGAGTCTTCTTTCTTCTTTTAAATATAAGGATATAAAGTACGAGGAATAGCAAGGGCAATGCTAGGCTTATGTGAAGAGGCTGCTAGTGATCTGCATGTGGCATCAAGAATAGATTTTGATGAAGAGATTAATGAGGTGCTCAAGAAGGTATATTCTTCAAATGTCATGGTAGTTCATGTTTTGCATTTAAGTTTCTCCCCTTGCCCTGCCTTCTTTGCAGATGAAAGTTTTGTAAAAGATATTCTTGCTGTAACACCCCCGAAAAACATGCTATAAAAAGCCTTAAAACATGCAGATAACGGAACTAAACAATAAACACAGCGGAAGTCTGAACGATAGATAAATAGGTAAAGTCTGAAACACAGGGTGTTATGCCATGTTCACCATAAGGATGAACGCACAGGCAATATCTGCAATGTTCACAACTAATCCCATAAGTTCAAAGTTCTACATCTACACTGGCTCACATGCCACAAAACGAGAGGGGAAATCTATACTAGCAAGTACTAGACCGCGCACTCGCCTAGACATCACCTGAAAGAACACAATAAAACATGGGACGACGCCCGGTCAGCGAATGATGCTGGTAACCCACCAATACATGTGAAATAACATACATAAGTAAGATATAAGTTGTAAAGCCATTTTCGAAACGGAATACATATATATAAGTGCAAAACCAAGAGTAATAGTCAACACAAGACTCAACACTCTCAACAATAACACGGGAACACATCCCAAGACCACAACAAACGACACGACTCACAAGAAGTCTCAAGGTATGATCTATCATCACACAATAGATCAAAACCCGACATGCATAACGCAAGGAATAAGACTCACCAAACGGTAGCACATGCCAAGGCAACACATGCCTTTGTGACTACACACGTCACAAGAGAAGAACTCACCACAATGGCTACACAAACCCTCGTGACATCACCCATCACGAGTTGAAATGCCTTCCTTATGCCCGGTTCCAACCTTATGGTTACCCCCAACCTTATCTCTTCTTCCAACCATTACCTCCAGGACCCCTGTACAACCAAGTCCAACCTTTTCCCTCCGAGGACCGTCGTCCCCATCCGCCGACAAACCGCCAACAAAACCACCAATTTCATAGTACACGAGGGTACCGATCACACACACGGCAACACATGCCTTCCCAAGAAATACTTGAACCTTACACAAAGGTCACAAACTCCATAATCACGTCACGGCCACCACGAGGACCGCTGCCGTACCTTGGTGATTAAGGCCCCATAAACCGAAATCGTGCAGTCCAGGTAAAGCCACACACGCATCACACCCCAACAGGAATCAACCAACGGATCACAACGAAGGTATGAAACATACTCAATCAAGGAATGGGTCACAACCCAACAACAACAACGATGAATAACACAAGTTATCATCAACCAATCGGAAGGTACAAACAACACACACGCTAGCATTTAGACACCGAACTAGCATGCTTATCAAACGGGTAAACCAAGATAGTTCCGAGGAACACATAAGACTCATCACGGTTCAACGAAACACAATGTTGAACACTTAGCACGATTCAAGACACCAAAGACCTACATGGATACCTACCACATAGTTCTAGACATACGAAACATCAAGAAGACACTCAAATAGTTCCACAAAAGAACATCGGGAAGTCAAAAGATCAAATACCGACTTCAAAAGAATCACGGGGAACAAATCACGAACAACATCACAACACGTACCCGCGGGTAGACCCACGGGTAGGCCTCTACCCGCGGTTCCGCCCGCGGGCACATGCTTCCCAACCTATGTACCCGCGGGTGGGAGGCGGGTTGGACGCCTACCCGTCGTTCCACCCGCGGGTACACCCCTGTACCACAAATAATCCATTCGGGGATTTTCAACTCCGAGCTCAAATTCAAGTCCAAAACATGTCAAATCTCACTCAATACAACAAAATGACTTGAATCATAGGAAATGCCAAGCAATGGCACAAATGAACCCTAAACACAAGCTCTAGATATGCATTTTCACAAGATAATGCATAAACACTCACATTTCATAGCCAAAAACACATGTAGAATCCAAGAAATCACATATAGGTAAGCAAAATAGATTTTGTAGAGCATGGGTTACCTCTTGTAGACTAAAGACTTCACTTTACACCTTAATAAGCTCTTCTCAAGGCTCACCTTCCAAACCCACTTCAAGAACAAACCAAAAGATCATAAAGATCCTACCTTTAAGAAAAGACACCTAAGATGAAACCAAAAACACAAGATGAACTTAGATCTTACCCTCCTAGATGCCCAAATATAAGAAAGGTTGAACACAAGATGAGCAACTCTTGAAGTCTTGGCAAGGCTCCAACTTGGCTTGGAAGAAAAACAACTCACTTTTTAGAGAGAAGGTGGAGCTAGGTTTTTAGAAAGTGTAAGGAAAGAATGAAGGTGGTCTACTAGGTTAGGTTACAATACTAACACCATGTGAAAGGTCAATAATGCCCTTACTAACATTAGGAAGTGTAAGGAACAAGGGAACTCTCTTCAAAGCCCAAGGTACAACTTTGACTTTGGGGTTGACTAGTCAATTACTAGTCCCCAAGTATTGAATTTTCAGGATTTTAGGAATTCATTCACCAATTGAAATAGGATTAATTACTCAATTAATCAGTTAATTGAATTTGGATTTTGGGGTGTCACATCCTCTCCCCCTTCAAAGAAGCTTCGTCCCCAAAGCTTGGGTACGACGAATTAAAAGCAAACGGTGATAGGAAACAACATTGTGACAAGAGGTTCAAGAACAAACTCTTTTGGTCAAAACTCAAAAGATCTCACAAGAGTTTCAAAACAAGAAAGAAGGCATATCAATCAAGGATTGACAAGAGTTTAACAAATGAATGTTTTGGAGCATCACGAACTCTAATCTTAACACAAGCACCAACTTCAAGCCAACCACCTAGGACAAAGCAACCAACACAAAACACTCACTACTACTACTAAGCTAACTAAACAACAAGGCAACAAGAGAAAACAAACACAAAAGCAAACAACAAACAAACAACAACGGCTAAGGAGATACAACTACTAAGGAAAGGCGAACAAGGTGGCCACAGCTTCACTCTAGAAGGACTCGCTCTCCGAATCCTCGGTCTCTTCATCATCTTCTCCTCTACGGCTTGAACTGGCTTCAATATGATCTAGCCTTTGGTGCACGACGACGAACGGCATCTTCAAAAAGCGAAGCAACTAAACCAACTACCCAAACCACAGGCTAACAACCACGGCAAACAAGAGAGAACGGCTAAACGCACAACTGAGCAAACCACTACCAACGAACCTTCTAACAAAACAAGCAAGGGATGCAACAAGGTTCCACAACGAAAATGGTCGGCTTACGAAACGGATGACAAAGCTTCAGAGATGGGTTGCAAACGAGGTTTCAAGCAACAAGGGTATTCGCCGCCAACTAAAGTTAGAGAAACCAAGGGTTTAAGGTAAGGTAGTAAGATGGATAGGCTTAGTCACAACGAAATTCAACACCAAAACCGTCGGTTAACAAAACGAGAGACAAGACTTAGAGATAGGTTGAGGGTTCACAAAGGTAAGATAAGAAAAGTATGAGTTTGAAGTTGATTAGTCTCTTCTGCCAATTTGCAGTTCCCTCAATATTCTTCCTAGAAATGGTTGTAGGGTCCTGAAGCTGCTTCTGTTCTCAAGGATGGTATGTGGGTCGTTGAGTTAATTTCCTTCTCGATTTGGTTATTTGCTTGAGACTATCTTTTATTATGTGATCATAAGCATTGTCAGTTGACTAAGTGATTGATTATGAACATTCCCGATACATTAATTTGCTTTTACTTACTCCATCTAATTTTTTCTGTAATATGCAGGACAAGTTATTGGAGTCCATGCTCTGGATGAATTGGATACCAAGTTAACTGCTGCTTCAAGGACATCCCGGCTGGCAATCCTTTATTTCACATGGTGTGGGCCCTGCCGTTATATGTCCCCGCTTTATACAAGCTTGGCTGGAAAGTATCCAAAAGTCGTGTTCTTGAAGGTTCACATTGATGAGGCAAGAGACGTGGCTGCCCGATTGAACATTAGAGTGTTCCGACTTTCTTCTTCATAAAAATGGAAGCAAGGTTGACAAGCTGATAGGTGCCGACAAGAATTCCCTTGAGACGAAGATTGCTCAACATGCTAGTTAACAGAATCTGTGAAAGGAAATCTAAGGTTTTACTGACTCTCTGAATAAGTTTAATCTAGGGCTTTGTTAAGGCAAAAATGAAACTGAACAAGAATGCTTTTTACCTTTTACAGTTGAACTAATTGCACAAATATAATATGGTCTGCATATGAGCGTTTGTGAATGTTATCTTACATATTAAGGATTATTAAGAAGGAATATTAATTTTGGAGGTTTTTATGTAAATTTAGTTTTATAAACTTCACTTTATATGTATGTGTGTGTGAAAAAATATATAATTTTTGTTGTGGTTGTGAAAGCTACTAAATATATAATTTATTTATTTTTTTTTAAAAAAAAAGGGTTTCCGCGACACCCACTGAAAGGTGGGTGTCACAGAAAAAAATTAATAAAAATAAAATAAAAGACTTTCCGACGCACCTGTTACGCAACAGGTGCCTCGGAAAGTCTGTATTAAAAAAATGCTTATTAAAATGCTTATTTAGCTTTCCGAGACACCTTATACAGGTGCCTCGAAAAGCTAAACACTTTTCGAGGCTCTGGAATCCGAGGCACCTGTACAGGTGACTCGGAAAGTATTTTATAGGAGACTCATAAAGCTTTTTTTTTGTACTAGTGACACTCTCTCTTTTGTCTCTCTCTGGGTTTTATCCGCCAACACAGCCACACAGCTGAGCCATTGGAGCCACGCCGCCACACCACCTTCTTCCTTCTTGGTAGCCTAAAATCCTCCTTCTGATGATCATCGCAATCGACTATCTGAAAATCGAATGACAAGAGAGGCGATTCACAGAAAACCCTTCGTCTTCGTCTCCCGCCCCTTTGCCGGCAATCCAACCGGCGGATCAACGATCAGGTGGCGGGGATGGAGTCAGGGAAGTGTCTAGGTTGCCACTGATTGGAATCGAGATCAGAATCAAGATCGGAGGTCATCCGCAGTTTTCGACAGTCTGGACGAACCTTCGTCAATGGTGACTTTGACGACGATTGGGCCGTTGCATGGATGATCAGAGGGGTTGGTTGGAGTTGGGGATGCGTCGAGGTCGTTCGCCAATAACCCGATTGTCGATCAGAGAGATCCAGTGTTGTCCAACAATTTGTTCGGAGGGCTCCAGTGCTCTCGGAGGGCTGTTGCAGGGACGATCAGTAGCTAGACCGTAGTATAATTGGGAAGTGGCAGATAAAATTGTTTCCTAGAGATCAGAATCTCTAAGCCAAATTGCCAATGCCACCAAATGAATATATATAGTGTGGCATTATACTTGACAACTTGTGCAGAAAACTTTGTGCATTCAAGAATGTAGAGAGATGAGAGCATACCATTTTGCGGATGGGCTCGAGCATGAAATTTCCACGGATCGAGTTTCTACTTTGCAAGCAAATATGGACAGTCGTCAGCTCGAGAAACGTAGCCATGGTTGCGTGGTTAGGTTCTGCAGTTCAGATCTGGGCAGTATCGGTGGCGAATCAGCTTCATCACCGGCGAAGTTTAACGGTGGAGAACGATTGTTGAGCTCTTGACTGATTTTAAGCATAGATTAATTCTAATTCCGTCTTGCGAGTGTTGGGGAACTATTGCCTAATCACTATTTTTGGATTCATATATCTGCTATGAAATAAGTGTTTGAGTATGTGTGATATTTACATCTCTCCTAAAGGCTGTTCATCCACAACTATGAAAAGAGTTTTCTAGAGTTGTTTTAGTTTTTATTTTCCTCATTTAGGATAAATTAAAAAGAAGATAAAGGATGGTGAAAGCTTTCTTGTTGTGCTCAACCCTTTTATTTATTTTTTTATTTACTTCAATTTTTTTTCATTTTTATTTTAGGAGATGTGTTGTTCAGTTGTATTCAGAATTTGTTCAGATGAGGCGGAGAAAACTGCCGGTTCGATCAGATCGTCGGAACAGTGCGCGCAGGACAATGAGAGAGGGAGGAAGGGTAAAATAGGAAATAAAATATAAAATATATTCCTAAGTCTTTAGGAATAGGTTAATACCAGGGGGCATTCAAAAAAAAAAAAAGGTTAATACCAGGGGGGGCCCCTGGTAATAGTTATTACCTTATTTGGGGGAATGTGCTATTACTGGAAATATTATTCCTAGTAATAGAAACGGTTACCAAACAAAGGAATAGGCCTATTACTAGGAATGCTACGCCATTCCCGGCTTATTCCGTGAACCAAATGGGCCAGAAGTGTTAGACGGGAAGTGCTATCATGAAGTAATATCAAGCCAAGCTTTTTAGACAAGTAATTTTTAGACGGATGATGACGTCACTTTTAGACGGGTGATGGTGTCATCATTAGACATGATGTCTTTAGACGGGTTATGAAACCCATGTGAAGCCGAAGACAAGAGACAAAACGAATTAAAATCAAAAGATATATTAAAGGGTTAACTAGCGGAGTTGGAAGAAGTTTTGCAAAGCAACCAAATGATACATGGTTCGACTCTCACTTGAAGCAATTTTGAGGTTAGACAGGATGATGTTTAGACATGCTACAAAGTCATACATGTTACAAGTTAGACGGGCTAAAGTTTTAGACAGGATGCAAAACTTTAGACGTGATATGACATCATCATCAGACGGGATATGACATCATTCTTAGACATGCTACAACTTTAGACAGGATGTCGACAAGCTTTTTGGGAACCCGTATATTTGCGAAGGAAGTCGAAGGAGTCGAAGAGGATGATTCACGAAGGAAATCTTTTTATTACTCAAGCAAGAATTAGCAGACTAATAATTTGATCAACTTGGCATATCAGATCAATAATGCAACAAAAGTCAAGCCTGAAATTATTCAAATTTGGAGGCTACACATTCCAAGAAAAGCTTTTGTCATATCAATGAAGAACAGCGACAAGATTATTCAAATCTTCTGACAGAACGGCGAAATGACTTTGCAGATCAAGTTGATACAATTATTTGATCAACTATAATTCAAAATGGACGATCGAGATCGAAAGTTGATCAATGGACAAATAGCTTTCATTGGCTATAAATTGTCCAAACAGACTTGAAGACAAAAATATACCAAAGAATGAGCAAGCATGACGGCTATCAACAGAGATTTACAAAGAGAAAAGAAAGCTATATTTTTATTTAGCCAGAAAAGGGGGAAAATAGATCTTCATTAGAAAAATTCAAGTCTGAGAGAGAAATCATTGTATTTCATTGTAAGCATTTCTACTGAGTGTAGAAAGGGGGTAGAGTACCTAGAGAGAGTGAAAAACCCTGTTTGAGTGTAGCTTTATGCGTAGCACTCGTTGTAAAGGGAAGGGTAACAAGAAGAGCTTGTGAAAACCCTGTGAGAGGTAGCTTTGTGCGTAGTTCTCGTGGTGTAGGAGTACAGCTTGGTGCGAAGTACTCGGGAAGGCGGAGTAACAAGAGGAGCTTGTGAAAAACCTTGGTAGAGTGTAGCTTTGTGCGAAGCACTCGGAGAAGTGTCGGTGGACACTAATTCTCTATTGTATCTGGGTGATCGAAAAATAGTGAATTTTCTCCTTGGAGTGAAAGGAAAAGAGTGGAGTAGGAGAATTACACCATCTCCGAACCACTATAAATCTCTCTCTCTCTTTACTTACTGCTCATTATATTTCGTGCATGCTATTATCAACTGCGAACTAACCCGTTATGATTTATCGCATATCTTTATCTATCTAGGTTTGATAGTTCCCACTTCCCACGTTTGCATGCAAGTGAAATTTTGCACACATCATATTTGAATCATATCAAGTGTTTCTAACGTGTTGCATGTTTAGAATCTCTCTTTGAGCACTGCACAATTGAGCATAACACTTTGTCGTTACATATTCCGCTGTGCACACTCTAATTTGTTTAACTTGTTTATGCTTGTTATTTAGAGTTGAAATTACTAAAGTGTTGTGTACTTAAGAAAAGTTTGAAAAGTTATAGAAGTCTATTCAGCCCCCCTCTAGACTTCTCGCCACCCATTTGGGACCAACACACTACTTTTGGGATTTACTTGCTATTACCTTCCTGATGCTATTTGAGTATTTGAATAGAGAAGCATGAACACTTTGTGAATAAGAGTTGTTAGAAAAGCATGACTAGAATGTGTTGTATGTTCAATGGAAATTGAAGCCTATTTTGATGGTAGAAATGTACAGAGTATGTTGTTTTGCAAACAAGCATGATTGTGTGTTCTTGAGAGTTCACTGTGCTATATAGAATTGAAGTATGATTGTACAGTATTCTTGCATTTCAAGCATATCATGTCTTTATAAGAGCATAAATGGCCAACGTGAGCCTAAGTATTATTTTCCAAAAATTCATGAGCATGTGGTATATCATTACCTTGTTGCACTGAGAAGTTGTTGAGTTGTGACATGCATAAGTTTGGTGCATGAGAGATATATATATTATCTATCTATATATGTGAGGTTTTGGAGGACCCGTTGGGACTATGTCCTTTCGGATGATGTTGACCGGATATTGCGATCCGATGTGTTGTAACGCGGTGTATTCCCACGTTACGAGGTTGGAAACTGCCCGCCAGGCTTGGAATCCTGGTCAGGGGGTGTGCACGCTAAAAGTTCGATACCTGATTCCACAGAGATGAGTTTAGAACCAAGAGAGTGGTTCGGTGGATGAGATTGAGCATAGGTCGGCTAGAGGTCGTACCGGGATAGGTTCGTTCACGCTACGGTGAAGTTCCTATCTCATCCATTTGTAAAGAAAGTGAGTCATTGCGATTCTAAGAAAGCGAGTCATTGCGACTCTAAGAAATGAAAGTAAGCGAGTCCTTGTGGCTCTAAGAGACCTCCACAGAAAAGTATTCTATTTACAAACGAGTGTATAAGTATACTTACCCTATAGCATCTTATTGCATAATGAGAATGTTTGCACGAGATTGCATAATGAGAATGTTTACACGAGATTGCATAATGAGAACGTTTGCACGAGATTGCATAATGAGAATGTTTACACGAGATTGCATAATGAGAATGGTTGCACTAGATTGCATAATGAGAATGATTACCCGAGTTTGTATATTGAATATGATTGCCTTAGTTGCATATTGACGTCTTATATTTCTAGTTTGCATGATGAGAACTTGAAAGCATGAGAATAATTTCTTATTGATTGATAGTACGCAATTGCTTGATAGCATGAGATCATTACCGATGAGTTTTGCTATGTTGAATATGTGAAAGAGTGATTATGTTGATAAATTATTTATCGTTGAAGCATGCATGTTGATATTATAGGTTGCGAGCATATAGAAAGTTTGTAGTTTATCTTAAAGTTTATCTAATTGTTTGAGATTGCTTAATTTGAGAATGTGAACAAATGTTTTTCCAAAGTATATACTGTAGTACTTTACAGGGTGGAGTGTGGTTATACTTAGCTTCGTGCTAACATGTGTTTTCTACTTGTCTACTTGTTGTTTTTCAAAACCCCTTTCAGGTGGGCCCAGCGTTTGAGAGTTGTTCGAGTTAGACTAGTTTAGTAGATCTAATAGTCTAAAATCTGTTTATTTTTATGATGTTATGGATGATGGATTGTAGACTTATGCTATTTATATTTGGTGATAGACACCGGGGTGTTTTTCCCCAAGTGACTTTAATTAAGTAATTTCAATGTTAGTTTGACTTGATGATTTAGTTCTATCCTTAGCCTGTGCAATCATCGTGGAAAGGTGATTGTGGCGGTGACATTCCCACTTGTTTGTTAATTTAGTTTGTTTTTCTACTGCTTAGTTTATCTTAATTTGGTTTTATAACTGTAATTAAGTTTAAGAAAAGTGGGGTGTTACATGAGAAGATATGGAGGAATAGGTAGATTTGCAGTTATGTACCTATAGTTGGGAGAAGAGAACTGAGCATTTGCTGGCCGGATTCAGAGACTAGGTTTGTGACACCCCGTACTAAAATATCCTAATACGAGTAATTCGTAATTATTTTTATATGGGATTAATTATTTATCCCAATTCATTAGCCCAATTCCTTCAATTAAATAATCTTTGTCGGTGGGGTGGACAAAATAATAACAAGTGGACTAATTGCCGATTTGGTTTATCGTAAGATCAGCGCTGATCCTGAGTACAAAGTAAAACACATTCAAGTAGATGTGCAACAGGCGTACGGGATCGATGTTACATACAGAAAGGCATGGTACGGGCGTAAAAATGCGTTGAAAGGTTGTACGAAAAATTTGAATATTCCTACCAAGAGCTGCCAAATTTTTTGCATACGTTGCATATGTCTAACCAAGTACGGGGTCTTTGTTGCATAACTTTTACAAAATAAATTTGTTTTTGTATCTCGTACGAAAAAAAAAAAACATTATCATACTAAATTATGATTCCCCCCAGGTATGATTGTTGATATCGAATTAACATAGTCCGCACGAGGTACTGAGTACGGTCACTTCTTGTATGCATTTTGGTCCTTTAAGCCCACTATCGATGGTTTCCGATTTTGCATGCCTATTATTTGCATTGATGGTACACACCTTTACGGAAAATACAAGGGACATCTCCTACTAGCGGTCGGAATGACGGGTAACATGGAAATATTTCCATTGGCGTACTCAATTGTTGATTCTGAAAACGGCGCCAGCTGGAGTTGGTTTCTCAAACGACTAGCAACACATGTGTTTCCTGATTTGAATTCAGTGTGTATCATTTCGGATAGGCATGGTGGGATTGATGTAGCGTTTAATAAGTTGAATGAATTAAAAGGACCCCGGGTTAGACTCGCATGCTCGGATTGTTGTATCTATGTTTTGAAAACTGTTATTGAGTTGGTTTGTTGGAATATATTCTATATGTCAGTCTCAAAACTATTTGAAGTATCAAAGGTATACATATGTAGCTTTAAATGTTGGATTGGAATCTTACATAGCATTCTTTCGCTAATTATTTTAAAATACATTTCAGGTATGGAGTATACTTGCGTTGAGCGTGTGATAGTCAAGTATAGACTCATATCTCCATTAGCTCGTTATGTTTTTGCCTAGACTTTGGCCTGTGAGCCATTGATGATGTAAATAAATAGTTATTGACTAGTTTATTTTGAGAATTATATCTTTTGACTTGACAGTTGTAGACTTGCCTTAGCATTTAGGTAGTTTGGCCTAAATGTGGTATAACACCCTCGTAAGAATTTGGTATTGCTTCCGATGAAATTTTATTTGTATAGGAGGAAACCAACACCCACCTTGGAAACACCAGAACAAAATCTTACCTTTCAGATTCAAAATTTCAACATACATGGCAGAGCAATCTTCTTTTTTATGTAAGAACTTTCAGTTATTTTCAGAACGGGATGAGTCTCTCTTTATGACTTGTGAGAGGGATATTCTTTTGTCTTCATACGCTTGGCTGCAGGTTCTTCGCCATCTTCGTGGTTGCTTAATCCATTCACTGCTTCTAGACCCAAAAGAGAGATATGTTTGCTCGTGATATGAGGAACAGTAAGACCAAACCCAGGAAGAAATCTCACATTGTTGTTCTTGGACACAGTTCTACCAATTGGTTGAAGATGGAACGAACAACACACCTAAGAGACATGGCTAATGAAAAGATCATTTTGCCCCCCTCAACTAACGACTAAGAGACAGATGGATAACAGAAGGACCTTTGTTGGAACAAATTAGAAAGTCAAGTGTCTTTTTAGTTGGAGGGCCATTGCTGGAATTAACTCTTTTGTATATTGAGATCTAAAATTGTGAATATTTAATTCTAAAATTGTGAATAAAGAGGGTCAAAGTACCTATGAGGTCCCTATATTATAGTGTTTTGTTCAATTTAGTCCTTTTACGTTAATTTTGTTCATTTTTTTTGAAAGCTACTGACTCTATTACATTGTAGTATCTGTTCATCTATACTTTCTCAATCTGTTAAAGCACAAAGAGCCAACACGCCTCCCATATGAAAGAATCACTACATGCTATCTGAGCACAAGATGCTTAGCATAATTTTGTTCAATTTAGTCATTGTACTTTTAAAAGTGAAACAATTAAGGACAACAACTTATATTATGTATTTATTTTGGACATATTAATGTTATTAGTGGTAAAAATAATTAATTTTAAATATTTATAAAATAATATATGAGTTGGCATGTAGTATTATGACGTGACAGATATAATGTGAGCGCCACATCAATTATTGTCCTTAATTGTTTCACTTTTAAAAGTACAGTGACTAAATTGAATAAAATTAAGGTAGAAAGACTAAATTGAACAAAATACTATAGTACATGGACTTTATAAATACTTTGACCGAATATAGAATTTAAAAATTATTAATATAAAATAAAATTTAAAAATTATGAATATAATCGGAGTCCATATTGCAAGGTGAACCAAGTTTACATCATAATTTGTGTCTAAAAATAGCCCACAACTCAGCTTCGGACTCAAGGGAGAAAACCGTTCAACCCATTAAGCAGCCCAATAGGGACAGGACAGGTGGACAACACCATTACACCAAATCACCAACATCCGACGCCCGTTCACGTCGTAACCTCCGCGTGGCACTATTCCATTGGTCCACTTCACGTGGCAAGATACACCATTGGCCGAGACAACTCGACGCTCTTTTCTCTAGATCTCTTTATATACGCTCTGAGAAATAGCTGGTCGCCTCTCAGTTTCTCACTCTCCATTTCTCCATGCTTCTGGACTCTTCTTCTCCCATAGATCCTTAAAGCTTCGACGCTCAGATCTTCCAAGTTCTGTTCAATTTTCCAACTTTTTCGAGTTCGGTTTTCAGCTATGGAAGAGAAGAAACGGAAGATCTGGACGCAGTCCGTCTTGCTACTAGTCATCGGCTGCTTCTTTTCTCAGCTCTCCGCTTCTTCTGATGTGGTAAGCCGTACTTATCTCTACTTATATTTTAAATTTGGATCTATATTTTTGAGATATTGATTTGGATTTATTGCTTCATGTAGAAATTGTATGAGTCATTCGAAGAAGCATTTGAGGGGAGATGGATAGTGTCTGAGAAAGAGGATTATAAAGGTAAGGTTTTTATTTGTTATTATGTGGATATCAGGATGTGTGATGTGCTACTCTAATTTTTCGTGGTCTTCAGCGGAATTTTTTTGGTGTATATTTATTGCTGAGCATGCATTTCTCCTTCATAGATAATTGTAGTAGCTAATGTACCCAAAAACAATCATGGTTGCCCACTATGTCATGTTATTTGAAGTTTAGTTGAATCTGGGTTTAAAGTTTTTTGAACTCAGTGGTGTGTCGTCGCAAGCATTTACCCGTCGCCATGTTGTAGTTCTGTTAGTTGATGTAGTACTACTGAACTAATGTGAGCCTTTACTATGGCAGCTAGTTATTTGATTGAACTTGAAATCTGGAGATTCAAGTTGAATATAGCAGCTAATCATTTGAGTTAAAGTTGATTATGGGATTTGTTGGATCTGAATTGCTTCTGAAACAAATGTTTAGTGATTAACTAGCCTTGTCTTGGGAGTTGGGAGGCTAACATTTTATAGGAATACTTAACAGCTTTTTAGTGTGTTTCAGCAGTTCAAGTGGTTTGGTCTTGAGTCCCCTTGCTTTCAAGGCATTATAGATGTTTACAAGTGCACTGCTTTGGTGTTTTATCTTTATTTACTTCCCTTTGTTGGAATGCTGTTGGAGCTCACAAGAAATCTCCGGATAGTATTGAGAATGAATGATCCCTAGAGTTTTGGTTGGCACCTCAAAACTGCCATGCCTACCATGTTCACATTATTAAAAAATTAGAGAGATTTGTAATTCCCCAGAGTATCAACACTAACTTTACAAGTTCCAAAATTGTAGATTTCAATGGAAATGTGCTTGTTTAGATATGTTATTTACAGTTTTTCTAACAATGTATTGAGGTGCATCATTTTAGTCTTGGAAATGTACATTTACCCTTTAGTACCAGTCGGGTATCCATGTAGTTTGAAAACTACAGTTAATGTCAATGCACTTTTTTAGATGTGTTAATTACAGCTTTCTCAACTTTTTACTGAAAAGTGTTTGTTTGAGAAATGTGTCTTCCGTGGAGCACAAATGAGAATATCTATGCTGTTTCAAAATGGCAAATTTTTACGTTGATATGACATTGTATCTCAATTCTCAGGAGTGTGGAAACATTCAAAGAGTGAGGGGCATGAGGATCATGGACTTCTTGTGAGCGAGCCAGCTAGAAAATATGCTATTGTCAAGGAACTTGATGAGGTTGTCAATCTCAAAGATGGAACTGTTGTACTCCAATATGAAGTTCGCCTCCAGAATGGGCTTGAATGTGGTGGTGCTTATATAAAATATCTTCGCCCCCAGGATGCCGGGTGGGTGGCCAAGGAGTTTGACAATGAGTCTCCCTATTCTATCATGTTTGGGCCTGATAAATGTGGAGCAACTAACAAAGTTCATTTCATTTTTAAGCATAAGAACCCAAAGAGTGGGGAGTATGTTGAACACCACCTTAAATACCCACCTTCTGTACCTTCTGACAAACTAACCCACGTTTACACTGCTGTATTGAAACCTGACAATGAGGTGTCCATCTTGATTGATGGAGAAGAGAAAAAGAAGGCTAACTTCCTCTCCTCTGAAGACTTTGAACCACCTCTTATCCCTGCCAAGACCATTCCTGATCCTGATGATAAGAAGCCTGAGGACTGGGATGAGAGGGAAAAGATTCCAGACCCAGATGCAAAGAAACCAGATGATTGGGATGAGGATGCACCAATGGAAATTCCAGACGAGGATGCTGAGAAGCCTGAAGGATGGTTGGATGATGAGCCTGAGGATATTGATGACCCTGAGGCCACAAAACCTGAAGATTGGGATGATGATGAGGATGGTGAGTGGGAGGCTCCCAAAATTGATAACCCAAAGTGTTCTGAGGGCCCTGGTTGCGGGGAGTGGAAAAGACCAATGAAGCGAAACCCAGCTTACAAGGGAAAATGGCACGCTCCCCTCATTGACAACCCCAGTTACAAGGGCATTTGGAAGCCTAGAGAGATCCCAAACCCTGATTACTTTGAACTTGACAAACCCAACTTTGAGCCTATTGCCGCAGTTGGAATTGAGATCTGGACAATGCAAGATGGCATCCTGTTTGACAACATCCTCATAGCTACTGATGAAAAAGTTGCAGAATCTTATAGACAGACTGCATGGAAGCCTAAGTTTGATGTCGAGAAAGAGAAACAGAAGGCTGAGGAAGTCACAGATTCCGATGGCCTCAAAGGCTACCAGGTAAATTCTTTAATATCATTTTCTCAATTTGTTCCTTGTTAACTTCATTATTTCATTACTGACTTAAAAAATTTCAAATAATTTTGCAGAAAGTGGTATTCGACCAGCTATATAAGATTGCCGACCTCCCCTTCTTGGGTGAACACAAGGGCAAAATACTGGTAAGCAAGAACACTCTAACTCCACATTCTTTATATGTTCTCTGCATTTGCCATCTTGCGCATGATACATTGCCTTACCCATCTCTCTCTCTCTCTCTCTCAGGATCTACTCGAGAAGGCTGAGAAACAACCAAACATCACAATTGGAGTTATTGTCTCTGTCATAGTCGTTGTCCTTACAATATTAGTCAAGCTTCTCTTCGGCGGAAAGAAGCAAATACCTGTAAGTATACAGTTCCTAATCCGTTTTGTCTGTTTTGTATAATAACCTTGAGGACTCGGGCCTAAATTATATTCATATATGTTTTGCTTGCAGGCTAGACCTGTTGAAGAATCCAAGAAGAGCGAAGCTGCAGAGAGTTCAAACAGCCAAGAAGCGTCTGACGAGAAGGAAGAGAAGGAAGAAGAGCATAATGAGGATGGCGCTGCACCTGCTAGGCGGAGGACTAGGCGTGATAACTAGGAATAGGGGATGAAAAGCACTAGTACATCTTTTTGACATTTTTGAAATTGTAGTTTTTTTTTTCCGTGTATGCGATTCTGTGCTCTACAAGGTGTGTTTTCAAAACGATAGTGTATATTAGACTCATCTGCTTGGCGTATCATTGGCGGCTTAATTTTGGCCTCTATAGAACATTTGTGTAACGGATATTTTCTACTCTTCTAGTATTATTTAATGAACGAATGTTATCATTTGGCTTACAGAAAGTGGGAGAGAAGCTTGCATTTTACTAGAAAGTTGAAAGTTAACACTCTTTTGTATGGTGTGCATTTTGGTTCGGTTTAACCTAGACGGAGCGGTTTCTGTTCCGAAAATCATTTGTTTTTTTTTTTTACAATTTTTTTTTTTTAAAATATTTTATATACATTAAATATTTATTTGTTTTAACGAAGAATAGTATTTTTGAACTTTTGAAATATTTAATTTTTGAAAATTTGGTCTTTATAAATTAATTTAAACAAATTTAGCTTCTCAATATTTAAAAGGTTGTACTTTTAACTCCTAGTGTTATATAATTGTGGTTATTTTTTTTTAGGATTAATATTCACTATTAAAAATAATGTTTCGAGTGAAATTTTAACTACTAATATTGATTTAAATTGATGAAATTAACTTAAAAGAGTTCATGAAAAATGATA